GATGTGAGCATGGTTCTAGAACCAGGAAACGGTAATTTACTTACACATGTTTGATTTCAGATGTGAGCATGTTTTTAGAAACAGGGAACAGTAATATACTTACATAGGTTTGATTTCAGATGTGAGCATGGTTCTTGAACCAGGGAACAGTAATTTACTTGCATATGTGTGATTTTAGATGTGAGCAAAGTTCTATAACCAGGGAACAATAATATACTTATATAGGTTTAATTTTAGATGTGAGCATGGTTCTAGAACTCAGGGGAACAGCAATTTACTTACATAGGTTTGATTTTAGATGTGAGCATGGTTATAGAAACATGGAATAGTAATTTACTTAAATAGGTGTGATTTTAGATGTGAGCATGGTTATAGAAACAGGGAACAGTAATTTACTTACATAGATTTGATTTCAGATGTGAGCATGGTTCTAAAACTCAGGGGAACAGTAATTTACTTACATAGGTTTGATTTCAGATGTAAGCATGGTTATAGAAACATGTAATAGTAATTTACTTACATAGGTTTGATTTCAGATGTGAGCATGGTTCCAGAACCAGGGAACAGTAATTTATTTACATAGGTTTGATTTCAGATGTGAGCATGTTTCTAGAAACAGGGAACAGTAATTTACTTACATAGGTTTGATTTCAGATGTAAGCATGGTTCTAGAACCAGGGAACAGTAATTTACTTGCATAGGTTTCCATAATCTGTAAATGACCCTCTGTGATTTTCTAACCATAAATAACATTCTACTTATATAAGTGTAAATATAACTATATGTTTAGACTGTCCTTACTCAGAAATAAACTGCATCACAATATAGAAAAATGAGATAATTTAAAGTTAACTTTTTTTAACAGTTAAACAGTACAGTCTGTCTTCAGTTTACCTGGTATGTTTCCCGTTGTTAGGGACAATACGATGGCAGTTTGTGCCATTGGTGCCCATAAATGGAAGACCTGAAAAACAGCATTTGAGCCAAATCTCCAGAACAAGTAGTTTTGTTTTTGGAGATAAAGTTATTCTATCATAACAAGTTCTTTACTGTGTAAAATTAATTGCCTTAACAACAATATAAATAAATAAATTATGAACATCGTAGATATTAATATGCATCTTTTTCTACAAGTACTAGCAGAGAACACAGAAATATTTTGCAGTATTTACTTCCATCTACAGATGAGGAAAGAATTCATCAATACATACTAAAACAAAACTGTACTTTAACAACCCAAATGTTAAAAAATTATAGCTTCAGTAAATGTATTCACTTTAATCAATTCCCCATCTGATACAGCATTTTATTACAAGTCTTTTCCACTATTCTCTTTTTGTATTAGTACAGAAACTACTCAAAAAAGTAAAATTGCTGGTAACAATAAGAAAATTAAACTGCTACTGTTAATAATTAACATTTAAATACAAATTAATGTACTTACAGCATAGGAATCAAATCATTTGTATTTCCACAACCCAAAGAACACAAGTGCAGCTAACATCTTTAAAATCACTCATTATTTCTAGCACATCAGTACTTTCTCTATAACCACATAGACAAATTCTTTCAGTCTTAACCCTAATTTTTCAACAAATACATCTCAGAAGCTGTGCATACCTAGTTATATGTAGAACTCATCTCCAGTTCACCAAAATAAAAAATAACCAACAATTCCTTTCTGAATTACTAAAAATAGTTTCTTTTTTTTGCTAAGTGATTGAACCTCCAGTGGCTGATATACCCTCAATTCATGGAATGGAGGGAAAAAATATATCAAGTGTCTCCTCTCTTGTAACCAGAACTAGCAAAATGTTCAACAACTGATGTTCACATATCTCTCCAGCCTTATGGTATAGTGACATGAACCTGGACATTGTTCAATAGATCTAGTACCACTCCAGTCTGAAGGTATAGCAACCAAAACTGCATCAGTGTTCAACAATAGTAGATTAAATCTCTCCACAATCTAAACGTATAGTAGCCAGAAATGTGGCCATGTCCAACAGTTTTAGGTCAAATATATATTCAGCCAAGAGGTATAATAAGAAATGAGACCGAGTCCAACAGTTATGGATGAATTGTAAGCATATTCTAAAGGTATAGTGACTAAAACTAGGAAAGTGTCCAACAGTTTTTAGGTCAAATATATTCTCCAGCCAAAATTTATAGTAGTCAGGAATGGGATAATGTCCAACAGTTTTTAGGTCAAATATATTGTATGTTTACCATACAACAATAGCCCTTGTTTACTTGTGATGAAGGAGTACATGTGGAAGTTCATAAGGTTTTATGGTACTCGGATGATGACATTGAAGAAAGAGTTAATCCAACAGTAGTAATAACCTACCATAACATCAAGACAAATAACTTAGAAGAATATAAATTGAAATATACTTCCCCTTATTTCATTTTCTTGATAATTATTTTTCAGATTCATTATAATAATTACAGAATCTAACAGATTTCAAAATACTGAAATGAACGTGCTACATAAAACATTTTGGTTTCTGTACATGAGTAAGACAATAAAGATTTCTTTTAGCAATAGCCCCTCCTAATGGTTACTCATAAGCTCCATCTTGCATACATCCTAAACATTTAACAAGTCTAAAACATCATCCTAATATAGTAACAATCATTCAACCAAGAATCATGACTTTTGAACTCGGAGAAATGTACCATCTTCCTCTTCAGATCTGTTATAGGTAAACTCCTGGAATTGTCTTAGGTAAAGCTCTTTTGTCAACATTAAAATTAATATGAATAAACATGTCACATGACTGGCCACTTATTCAATTTTTACCTAATTTTCTTTCCCAACTGTATTTTTCCCAGAAAAATTAACTAAACTTATAAAATGTTATACCTATCACATTATTTGGTTTGTTAAGACCAAATGAACAACAAAAAAAAGCATATCAATGAAAAATATTCATATACTGTCAAGTCTAAGATATTTTTTCTGCATAGGATGTGATCATAGTTACTACATCATAAACCCAAGATAACTCACATTTGGAAAATAAAACTCAGATATAAATGTCTTTTGGCTAAGGTTTTTTCTGCATAGGATGTGATCATAGTTACTACATCATTAACCCAAGATAACTCACATTTGGAAAATAAAACTCAGATATAAATGTCTTTTGGCTAAGGTTTATTTTGATACTATTTTCAAAAACTTTTATGATGACCCTTGAGTCATCTTGTCCTTTTAATAAAAGTGAAAAATAATACATTTATTTGAAGATTTTAAATCTCTTGACCTTGATAATGTATCTTCAGGATTCAAACTTTATTTTCAAGCCAAAAGGAATCTTATTAGACTTATCAAAAGTAACCGTATTTTGATGACAGAGCTCGGACAATACTTAACTATATTTTTCTGCTGGGTAAGAAAAAGTGCCTGAATTTCTTCTTTTTATATCTATAATAATAAAAAAGCATGTCTGTATGTGTGTGACAACCATAGCTCTCAGAGGAAAGAACCTAAAAACCTGAAATTTAGCACCCACACTAAGTGGACCCTGAGGGTGTGTACCTGGGTATTATTACTTATCCACGTGTGTGCACACATGTGCATGTGCATCTTTTTAATGGGGCAAGCTAGTGAAAAACCAGCAGATAGAAAAATCAGTGCATTTTGGTAACAATATGTTCCAACAATGGTTTTTATGTCATGTTGCTTAGCAAAAAAAGTATAACCTAATAATGTTGTTAGTCTATATACTCAAAGTATAAGAAACGAAACTGGAAAAATATTTGTTGATTTCTTAATTTAGAGTCTCCATTGATTAAAGAGATTTGTATTTTATTAAAAACATTGTTGATATAACAGAAAATACCTTAATTCAGAAATAATTTAAGTTTAAAATTGGATCAATATTTTTAATTTCATGATAAATTTTATGCACTTGGCTCTAGGCTAGGTTATCTCAAACTATGTCTTTACTTTAGGCTTATTCATTAATTTCTATAAATCATACCAACATTCACTACACTTACCAGGTTTCACAGTAAACCCCTTCACAGCCCCCTTGCACTCCTATCACTAAAATCGTAATGGGCAGACAGTAATCGAAGTATTCTATCTGGATAAATGCATTTTGGCTTTTATGACTCCTCTTATTTTGAGAAATCAAGCGTGATGTGAATCGACACACACTGGTTTTTATCTAGAATATATCAACCTAATAACCCCGAGCAAAGCCGGGTACTTTCACTAGTTATTACATTTACTAAAAGTAATGTGAAAGACCAATAGTTAATATGATAAATTGTTGCACTGAAAGTAATTGTTTTAATTACATATTAATATTCGTGATATAAATTTTTGGAAAGTTTCTTATTGTCTTACAGATGAATTTTGATGTTTTTTTTGCTTAATACCACAGTATGACTTTAAATTCAACCTATGTTTTTCATAATAACAAATTAGTTCAGATACTTCTAAAAAATTCTTCTTTAAAATTGGTATCAATGTAGAAACAATGTCCAAGCAAAATAACAAGAAAGCCCAACTACAACAGCAAAATTTACCAATTGAATGTAACATGGTAAAAATTTTGTTAAGCCTACAACTTTCCCATAATTAGTTTCTTTCCTATCACAGCATTTGTAAGAAGATGTACAAATGATAAAGTGGCTGCAGATAAGATTAGTGATCTAAAATAATTGAATTATTTCAAGGTGAAACAAAATGAGTTTTAAGGCATTCATTTTAAGTTATTTCTACCAAATGTTACCAAATGTCTTTATTATTATATATATATATATAAGATTTTATAATACTTTGAAGTTATATAAACTTTTTCATAACAAAGTTTAATATAAACACTTTACTGAAACACAAAATAACCAGAAATAGAAAACCTACAATTATCTGATACATAATATAAGTGTGCTTACTTTATGTACACACTTGTATATGTGAAAAAGTAAGTTTTCATTGCTTATTACTGCATAGGAAGTGAAACAAAACTCTCACAAATACATACATTCTCCAGCCTGTTTTTGTCGTTCATGTTCCTTAATGTCTTCATCTGGAATCCCCTCCATACCATAAATTTCTATGTCAACATTATTTCGGTTGGGAAGAGAATTAGGAACCTTGTCAATGGTCTCCTTATGAACCTAAATTGTAGTTTAAAAGGAATTAAAACTTTCAACATTGCCTATAATTACAAACTTGTAAAGTTTTCTTTTTTGCTTTAAACTTGACATAAAAAATTAACCTTTTTCCTACGTGGAAATTTAATTCAGACAGATACTCATCTCTCAACAGAACAATTTGCTAGTACCTCACCATTACTCCCAATCTTTTTTGCACATGCATCTGTGTTACCAGGCAACATCAGATCATACAACTCCATCAACAGAAGAGAAACACATCCTTCTTGCACAACTTGTAAACAAAAAAACTCCTTCTTGACAAGGAAAAAACATACCCCAGAAGTAAGGTAAGTGGTTCTATGGAAAAGAATATCCATCTGAAATACATTTTCACGTACTTACCTCTCAAGAAATAATTATGTTACAACAGCGGAAGTCACACAATGCTGGAAGCATGCACAATGGAGTTTGTGGAAGGATCATGAATTTTCCTGGCAACTCTAGTTTGTTCGAGGTGCCCTCTTCTTTAGTATATAAGCCTGGTGAGAAAAACCAGCACAACTGCATAGAGAGATAGATTGAAAAGATAGATAATTGAGTCAAGCGAACAGTAGGCACCATAAGTAAAGAATGAAGAACGAGAAAAGAAACAAGAAGACAGATTACAGCAGCTGTTGGAGGAAAAAGAAAAGAAATAAGAAGAATGAGAAAAGAAACAAGAAGAGAAATTACAGCAGTTGTTGTTGTTGTTGGAGGGAAAAAAAAAGAAACAAGAAAAACGAAAAAATAAACAAGAAGAGAGACTACAGCAGTGGCTGGAGGAGAAAGAAAATGAACAAGAAGAGAGACTACAGCAGTGAGAAGAAAACCAACACCAGTGGCAACTGGAACAAGAAATACAAATGGTAAAGATTAGTAAATTTCAAAGTGATTTAAATACATTAAAAGACGATTTACTGTCTTTTACACAAGGAGGATATATTAGCCATGGATCTAATCAGCCCCAGACAACAGGAAGCCCTATCCAGACCCCACAGCTAAACCCTAATGCAGACATCTTCAGTCCTGCAAGAAGTCACATTCCAGACATAAGTGTCAGCAATAGGGGTGATCTAGTATGAAGGAAGCCACAGGAATTTGAAGGGAATGCACCATGGAAAGCATAGAGTGCACAGTTTGAGCTCCTGGCAGAAATGAATGGATGGACAGTGGAGCAGAAAGCAGTGCACCTGGCAATGGGCTTGAAGGAACAACCACTGAAAATACTTGGACAGTTGTCAGTAAATGACAGGCACAACTATAGAGCACTGGTAGTTGCTCTAGAATGCAGGTACGGATCTCAAAATCAGTCTGAAGTCTACAGGACTAGGTTTAGGACTAGAGTCCGTGCTAAAGGGGAGAGCCTGCAAGAGCTAGCACAGGACTTGGAAGGTATGGCACACAAGGCCTACCCAACTGCACCACCCCATGTCCTCCAGCTGTTGCTGAGGGATCAGTTTATAGATGCCTTGGACAGTCCACAACTGAAGATACAAGCGAAGCAAGCACACCACGCTACTATGCAGGATGCAATGGCCAGAGCTCTCGAATTTGAATCCTACGTTAAGTCCAGCACAGAGGTACCGAGGTTGGTACAGTCATCTGGATTCAAGGCCAGAAGAGGGCAGCTTTCAGAGAGGTTTCAGAGACTTTGATGGCACTGTAACAAACCTGGGCACAAGAGAGCTCAATGTCGGCAACTTCAAAACAGGAAAGATGCCATGGCAGAAAAGACTGCTACCCAGAAAGGTTGTTAGAACTATGGAGACCAAGGACACATGAGAAGCCAGTGTAAGAAGAATACTACCAATAAGTCAGCTTTGGAAAACCAGTAGTGGTTGGTGTTGAAAAACACCCACCAACCCCCATTGTGAAAGTCCCAACAGCTAAGTGTAAAATGGCAAGCACACATAGTGTCTACGTGACAGGAAAGCTGGATGGCCAAAAGTGCAACTTTGTCATAGATTCTGCATCTCAGTAAACCCTTGTGTGTATCAAGGTGCTGCATACTAGGGTTTGACTACTTACTACATAGGAAGTGTGTAGTTAATTTTGATAAAATGATGTTTGGGAACAACAATGGACAAATTCTGGTAAGTGTTGCTGCTTCTGTTGATTTGCATGTCACAGCACTTAAGTCAACTACAATACCCCCTATGTCAGAGAAGATAATTTGAGGTAGAATAAAAGTACATCCCCAAGGAAGCCCAATGCTTGTGGAAGCAGTGGAATACCCATCCAGGCCAGCAGACATGAAGATTGGAATGTCACTTGTGGCTGGTCATCAAGTAATACCCATAACAGTAGATAATTTCTCTAAATGTCACACTTAAGGAAGGAGCATTGTTGGGTGTGTGCCAGGAGGTAGAGACATTCAATGTTAAAGTAAAAAATACATCCATAAAGAAAGAACATCCTCTTCCAGAACATTTATCTGACCTCTATAAGAAGAGCATAGTCAATTTGTCATTATCACAGACTTTTCAGGTTAGGGAACTTTTGGTGAATTATGCAGACATCTTTTCAAAAGGAGATCATGACCTTGGCTGCACAGACCTTGTGGAGCCAGAATAAACACAGGCAATCACTGTCCAATAATGATCCCTATGATGAGAATAGCTCCAGTAAAGCGACAAGAGATGGAGAAGGTCATCGATAGTCTAATTAAGGAAAGAATAGCCGAGAAATCAGATAGTCCCCGGTAAGCTCCTGCCTTGTTAGTCCAGAAGAAGGATGGCACCAAACATTGCTGTGTGGACTTCAGAGCTCTAAACAGTATAATCAAAAAGGACTCATACCCACTGCCAAGAATTGATGATACTCTTGATGCCCTAAGTGGAGTCAGGTGGTTTTCAACCCTGGACTTAAAGTTGGGTTTCCATCAAGTGAAAATGGCTGAAGCAGATAAACCTAAGACTACATTTAGTTATAGCCAAGGTCTCTGCCAATATTGTGTGATGCCATTCGAGCTTAGCAATGTTCCAGCAACATTTGGGAGATGGTTGGAAATAGTACTTGAAGGCCTACAATAGAGGATAGCCCGAGTGTACCTGAATGATGTCATTGTGTTTGCAATAACATTTGATGAGGAAATATCCCGGCTAGAGGAAGTATTCAAGTGTTTGAAAACAGCAAACCTCAAACTCCATCCCAAGAAGTGCCACTTGTTCCAGAAAGAGGTGCTTTACTGGGTCACATTGTTAGTGAGCAATGGTGTACAAACGGATCCTGATAAGGT